AGTAGCCTCTGTTGAAACGTGAGTATGCACGCATATCAACGAGGTCGGCTTGCCACAAATCATCGTATCCTCGAACTATGACGCGTCTTCGTGGAAAATTCCTTCTCGCCGGAGCATGCAGCTCCTCGACGAGCCGTTGCTTCTCGGAACCGTTACGTCCATCGGATTTTGATGGTCTCATGTCTCGACAGTGTGTAATCGTTGACGTAATGATATGCGCAAAGAGGGTACCATGCGATATATGTTTTCTAACAGCTCCGAATACAGACCGGTTTTCCAAAATACAGATCTGTTTACAGACCTGTTACCGATTTACAGACCTGTTTCCAAATTACAGACCTGTTTCCGAAATACAGACCTGTTTCTGAAATACAGACCTGTTTCAGAAATACAGACCTGTGTCTCCTACCCGTTTATTTCTGATTGCGGTCGTCATCCAATAGCCATTCATATCCGTTTTTGTAGTTCATCGTTATCCGATAGCCGCTCGTTAACCATTTCTAATCTAGTGATATTTGCATGCCAGAGCTCGTTCACAACGATCTGTAAAGCTTGCAAGTTCTTCTCCAACGCAATCAGCTTCTCATCAGACTCTTTCCTCAACGTTACAACGCACTGTTCCACGTACAGTTTGTTTACAGCGTCGGTATCAGCCTCAGGTTGCGCTACACGACGAATCTTGCATGATCTTGCATCGAAATCCGTAGCAGCGCGTGAAATATCTAGCCTATCAATATAGCTGTTCCACAAAAGCTGCAAGTTGTTTGGCTACGCATTTCTCAAAAGTAGAACTTGGACCAAGTACTAGCATCATGGACACAGGCCTTAATTCGCCTGAATAGATACAGAGTTTCTAAATTTCTAAACGTTGCTATTCTTTTCATCGTTGCTATCGATACGTTATTGGCCGAATAAGATGTATTTACAGAATGGTTACGGTAGAAGAAAGATACGCGTTATACATATATAAATATCCATTGTTATATTTGGCGTAATTTGTTGATGATATCATTACTTTTGTAGAGAAGATAGTTTTGTAGAGAAGATACTTTTGCAGAAGAGAGATAGAGTAGATAGAGATCACGAGATAAAATTTACACGAATAATCGACTGAGGAATATTGATGATACATACCTTCTTGCCCAACTTTTCTTCCGTGAAAGTCGGGCGCGGCAGGGAAACTTATTCTTCGTATCTTCCTTTATTTTAATCTTTAGCTGTAAGACAATATTAATAACTAATACATCTAGACATCAATGTTATAAAATAATAAAGTAGTAATACTTACCAATGAAAATAACACTCGCTGAAATCTCACGGTTACACGTGTGAAATGTCACGTGACACGCACGAAACGAGTGACATCGCGAAAGTGCCGTTTTTGCGCGTCGTTACTGGCATCGACCGCGCGCTTTATTTGTTTACGCGCGGCCTGTTGCTGTCCGAAAACAAATGCCCTAAGACGAAAGAGCAGTCGTTGGCAGTGCCAACGACTGCCAACTTGGCAGTCGTTGGCAGTCGTCCGCACAGAACAGGTCGTCCGAACGTGTCCGAACGAGAAGGGCGGAAAATGAAACGATGTAAGTATTTACGTACACACACACAATGTATATTATATATACATATATATATGTTTTAATGATTAAAAATTATTTATTTTCAGCAAAATGCGTAGGTTCCCGAACGATGCCACCCACGTTGTGCATAGCGGCATCGACGACGGGGAAGACGGTGAAGACGGGGAAGACGGCGAAGACGGCGACGACGACGACGACGACGACGCCGACGACGACGACGCCGACGACGGCGACGACAATGTCGACATCGCCACAGGCGACGGCGACGACGTCGACATTGCCAGAGACGACGGCGGCGGCGGCGGCGACCACATGGGGGCCTAGGCGGTACCAAAACCAAAGAGTAAGTGAAAAGACACGGAGTGCATGTATGATTTCGTGCATGTACATACATGTGTGTGTGCATGCTTTATGTGGCGTGTGAGCTAGCGCCAGACTACTCAGTGAGAAATGATTCGTCGATCGACGTCGAAACGACGTCGAATCGACATCGACACTGTCGAAATGACGTCGATTCGACATCATTTCGACGTCGATCGACGAATCATTTCTCATTGGGTATGCGCAATACGTAATGTGCGATTTGTTATTTGTATATTCGTGAATATACTTTTAATAAACGTGAATTGACTTTTATAACTTGTGTATTACATTATATGTTTCAGTGGCTGAAGGAGATCATTCGCCGAGAAGTTTTGAAGGAACAGAAAAAAAGATGAGGGTGCGGCCGCCGCCGCCGCCACCGGCGTACCCGCCGCCGCCGCCTGCACCGGCGTACCCGCCGCCTGCATCAGCTACCCGCCGCCGCCGCCTGCACCGGCGTACCCGCCGCCTGCGCCGGCGTGCCCGCCGCCGCCGCCACCACCGGCGTACCCGATGCCGCCGCCGCCGCCGACGTACGCGACACCGGTGTACCCGACACCGTACTCGCAGCCGACGTGTGCGCAGCCGACGTACCCGATGCCACCGTTCTACCATTAGAAAACGTAAGTATTTGTATTTTTTCTGCTAACATCGACGCGCCACCGACATACCCGTCACCGGTGCATTTTTATGACTTTTTTAAATTTTAGGTATAGATCTGAGGAAAGGCAACTACGCTGAGCGCGTCGGCGCCGGTGCGCCGGTCTATCTCGCCGCCGTCATGGAATATCTGGCGGCTGAAGTCCTCGAGTTGGCTGGAAACGCAGCCAGGGACAACAAAAAGACTAGGATAATCCCGCGCCACTTGCAGTTAGCCATCCGTAACGACGAGGAACTGAACAAACTGCTGTCCGGAGTAGAGCTTACGATACGTGTTTTAAGATTCACGTGTCACATACACGACTACATGTTACACGTGTCACATACACGACTACACATGTACACGTGTCACATACATACACGGGTACACGGGTACACGTGAATGAAGGTACCGTGAATCCGTGTACACGGATCACGTGTACACGTGAATCTTAAAACACGTATCCAATCGTAAGCTCTAGTCCGGAGTGACCATTGCTCAAGGCGGAGTCCTGCCCAACATTAAAGCAGTCTTGCTGCCAAAAAAGACCGGCACTAGCGGCTCCGGCAAGGGCGACAAGGCGTCGCGGGAATATTAGACTGTTGCGCGTTTATAATTTCTAATTTTAGTTTATAATTTGAACCGTTTTGTAACCTTTTGTATACTTTCAATAGTCCTCGTTTTTCGTGAAACGGGGACGGGAGGAACAGATGCCCCGGCGACGTCCTGTGTGCGACAGGATTAGATTTACATTGGTTCTTGAGATAGAGAAAAAATATAGAGATCGATAGCGGACGATTTTTTTATTATTTTTATTTTTTTATTACACTGTCGTATATTGTGGTCTTCTTATTTGTACGAGTTCGAACATGCGGGTTTTTTGTTATTAATCGCCAATCACCCACAAGAGAGTTTTCCGTTGCGTTCGATTGGGGATCTTGGAGCTTTTTTTTACGTGTGGAAATCCTTTATGGATACCCGGGCCCCCCTCTGGGAAGGGAGTTTACAAAGTGGCCCGGGTTATGTGGGACTGCCCTCCTAATGGCGATCGGGTGCGGCCGCTAACGTTGCGACCGCTGGGCTTACCGCACTAAAACCACACGGTGGACTGCGCTGTGCTTTACTTGGGGGAAGCCCAGGACTTGGCAGAGCCATTACTTCTGGACGCCCCCCGCACCGGCCCGCCGTTTGATGGGCGGGCCGCTGCGCTTTCTCCCCCGTTGGTGTGGGGGAGGGGGGACTCCTCCCCGCAGGGTGAGTCCACTACTCTCTTGGGCGGCAGAGGCGTCCACGACCTCTACCGCCCGCCTCCGTGGAGGCAGGGCCTGACGGGGTTCCCGGCCCGCCAGACCCAGGCCGCCTCCCCCCTTGTCGTTGGGGGAGGGCCATCTCCTCACCGCCTCGGCGGTGTTCCGCCCACTAAGAGGGGAGGGGACTTACCCGCGGCTTGCGGGCAGCCCCTCCACCGTCAGGACGGCAGTGTGGGCGGCGGAGTAGGGGGTGGAGTGGGAGCGGGAGCACGGGCGAGTAACATTCTCGCCCGGCTCCGCGTCACGGGAGGGGAGGCCGGGGAAGTACGCGTCTCCCCGTCGGCTCTTCCTCCGTCTGACCCAGCTCCC